TATTATTCATCCATTTGTTATTTTTCCCTGATAGGTTTACTATCACCCAAATTAGTCTTCTGTTGGCATCAGTTTTCCAATCTATTAAATAAAGAAGTTGGATTATATGAAATCTAAGGTCTTTTCCAGCTCTGATGCTCTATTATTAAACTTGACCAACTTTTACTACTGATTCTGAATTTGTTGTATAGAAAAACTGTTTAGGATCCCCCATAGACCTGGCAATGCTTCAACTGGGTAGTAACATGTCTCGTAGCATTTTTTCCCCCTTGGTCAGCTCGAAGCTGCCCATTACCAATTTATCATTGATTCACAGAATCTCAGATTAGAAGAGACCTTAAAGGTCAATTTCCAGCAAAGAATGTAGCAGAGGAATAAATGTGGTGTCTCAGAAGGCAAACTCTTTCCAGAATAATACCAGTTTGCAGAACTTCAAGATAATTCCTGGTGGGGTTCTCGTTCACTTCTCTTTCTACCAAACTGCCTGGATTTCTGTTTATTGCATTTCACTGAAATATTCTTTTAGAGCCATAAAGGACCTTGGTGGAGAGGCCAAACTCTAGTGAGGGCTCATTATCAAGTAATATGCTGCTAAGTATCAGGAAGAGTAAAACTTAAAACTGCCTGGTTTCCTGCCATATGGCATATTACAGAGGAAAAGTCAAGGGTCAAATTGCGCAGTGCTATTCTTCACATACAAAAAGGAAGCAGTAGTGCAAGACTTGTTTTCAGTTTCGTTTCCAATGTTAGTGATGTGTTACAGATTTAATTGTGTCCCCCAAAAATATATATTGTAAATCCTGACCCCTATACCTATGAAAGCACCCTGGTGGCACAGTGATTAAGAGCTTGGCTGCTAACCAAAAAGTCGGTAGTTCAAATCCACCAAGCCGCTCATTGGAAACTCTGTGGGGCAGCTCAATTCTTTCTTATAGGGTCTCTATGAGTTGGAATCGACTTGATGGCAATGGGTTTGGTTTTTGGTCTATGAATATAATCCCATTTGGGAACAGGGATTTTTTATTATATTAATGAGGTTTTGTCAGTATAGTGTGTGTCTTAAACCAATCATTTTTGAGATTTAAGAGAGCAGATTAGGCAGAGAAGAAGGAAAAACAGATAGAGGAAGATAGACGCCAGGCCACATGAAGATAGCCAAGGACTGAGGAACAAAAGCTGAAAGGAGACAAGGACCTTCCCCGAGAGCCAACAGAGACAGAAAGAGTTTCCCTAGAGAGAAAGCCTTTCCTTTAGGACTTATAGGCTCCTAAACTATGAGAAAATAAATTTCTGTTCCTTTAAAACCACCCACTAGTGGTATTTCTGTTACAGCAGAAAGGAAAAAAAAAAAAAAAGCCTGTTACTATTGAATTGATTCTAACTCATAATGACCCTATAGGACAGAGTAGAACTGCTCCATAGGGTTTCCAAGACTGTAATCTTTACAGAAGCAGACTGCCACATCTTTCTCCCATGGAGCTGCTGGTGGGTTTGAACTGCTGACTTTTTAGTTACTCGCTGAGCTCTTAACCACTGCGCCACCAAGGCTCCTTCCTGTTATAGCAGCACTAGATAATTAAGAGAGTGATGATTTTGCACTAAGCACTACTACTATCAGTTCCCCCTCCCTTTTGCTATTGAGACCTTTGTAATAGGGCTGATGGTGATAACCAACAGAGCCTAAGGTCATGGAATAAGATGTTCTTTGCTGCAGCTACTGCTCCTTATCTGCAAGTTCCATTCTTGGCCAATAGGCTCTAACCAATGAAGCTAATGAGTTCCTTCATGTAGATCCCAAAGCTGGAAGCAGGTTTGCCTGTGTGTCCAGTGTGAGAGGGGCTTCTTTCCTATTGTTTGGCTTTAGGAATCACAGTGTAAGAATGCACTGACAACCGAAGTGGAAGGTAACTGCAAAGGCAACAGACAAGATGAACGAATCTACATGCATACGTTTGATCTGACAGATGAATGGGGTTCCAAATCCTTTTTTTTTTTTTTTTTAAATAGAACCAGGTTCTCCTCTTCCAAGTACATATTTATCCAAATGGAAGAATACACCCTTTGAGTAAGCTAAATGCTGGCCCAGAGATTGGTTTACAAAGTAGAAAAGCCGTTTTCACGCTTGCTACCTCACTTTGCGATTCTCTCATGTTTAACGCAGTGAATGGTATCTACGTGCCAAGCAGGGCATGCTCACAGAAAGCAAGAGTGTTAGTGGAAAGAAAAACAGAAAGACACCATGGAGAAAAATATCAGTGAGTAGTTTTGCCACTCCTAGGAAACAACCAGGAGCCCTGGTGGCGCAGTGGTTAAGCACTTGTCTACTAACCCAAAGACCAGCAGTTCGAGCCGCTCCTTGGAGACCCTATGGGGCAGTTCTACTCTGTCCTACAAGATCTCTGTTGAGTTGGAATTGACTTGAGGGCAGTGAGTTTTGTTTTGGTTTGAGGAAACAACTTCCAGGCTTCGTGCTGCCTTTGCAGTCCTAAACAATAACGACTTCAGTGTCCCAGAGAAAACTTACAGGCCATGCTACACACCTGACTCACAAAGTAGTTTGTGCAGTCCTTACCATGACCAGCCTCCTGTGGAACACTGGCGGAGACAGACAGGCTCTTCCTCTCACCCAGCACTTACGCGAATGCTCACAATTCCACAAGAAAGGAAGACTGACTGATCCTTTATGTGCACTGAGATTTTATGTGTGTTGAGATTCTCGTTGCAAGAGAAACCCATTAGTTTCTAGAGAATTAATAAGCCAACGTTCCTCTGTATAGTTGCTAATGGTCTGGGTGGCAGTTAACAGTGAGCTAATAGGTTGTGAACCTTCTGGATTTGACTCCAAGGTTGGGAAGTGCTATGGATTGAATTGAGTCCCCCCAAAACACATGTTGTACATCCTAACCTCTACGCCTGTGGTTGTAACCTCATTTGGGAATGGGCTGTCTTTGTTATATTAATGAAGGCAGGGTTAGTGTAGGGTGTATCTTGAGTCAATCTTTTTTGAGATACAGGAGATTAAACGCAAGCTAGCAAGCAGAGTCGGGGGAAGAGAGATGCCAAGCATGTGAAGATCACCCAGGAGCAGAAGTTCAGAAGAGACACGGACCTTCCCCCAGAGCCGACAGAGAGAGAGAAAGCCTTCCCCTAGAGCTGGCACCCTGAGTTCAGACTTCTAGACTCTTAAAATGTGAGAAAATGAATTTCTGTTTGTTTCAGCATCCACTTGTGGTATTTCTATTATAGTAGTACTAGATAACTAAGACAGGAAGGAAGGAAGAGGAGGTGTATATGAAGGGACTGTGCCAAAACTCTAAAGCCCAAGTTCAGGGTTTATGCTTTTCCATCTAATCATCATCATCATCACCCACATCTACTCTACAGGTATTCAGAGTCTGAATTCCACTAATTCTTTGTGTAGCTCCCCTTCCCGCCCCTCGCCCCCCTCTAGTGTCCAGCACAATGCCTGGCACATGTTGGGTGCTCAAAATAGATGTATGGAATCAGTCAATAAATAAATGATGGCTGGAACTCTAATTTGGACTTTTAGCCTCCAAAACTGTGAGACAATAAATTTCAGCTCTTTAAGCCACACACACACACACACACACACACACACACATACATACATAAATACATGAAAAAAGAATACCCTTCTGCAAGTGATTAAATTCTCCTGATCTTCCACTTCTTCATCAGTAATGTGGGGATAATTTCGTGGGTTTGTTTGGAGATTAAGCAACACAGCATACTTTATATAGTTCGTAAAATGTCATAAAATGTTATGCTCCAAGGTGCTAGCCGACTTTTGAATGTGCATATATGCTTCAGCCGCCGGAAAAGAAAAGTGAGGTCCTAGCCAGATAAGGGAATCATCATCACCCAAAGCTATAGATGTCATGGGTTAATTAATCTCAAATACATTTAACTAATGCTAAGGAAGAAAGACAGACGGTGGGAGGAGGAAGGAGGAACGGGGAAGGGCTGACGAAGGTTATAGTGAATACTTTAAAGTCCCGTTGAATTATTTCATAAGGGATAATTTTCTTTTCACAAGAAATCACCCATGTGCCAAAAAAAGGGGGGGGGGTTGTGAAAAAGCGAGTTAATCTAAGCTCCCTCTTGCCTGCTGCAAGTAACAGTGCATGATACAGTAAGGTAGGCGGCGCGGCTACATATTTCACTTGAACTTCCTCTGTGCTCCTTTTTATATTGAAGTCTTTCACTGTTCCAGGGTTGTGTTTGACAAAGTTGGAAAACTTTCCCCTGGTGGAGAAAAAGAAGCCCTCATCTGACTCAATCCAACCTATAAATAAATTATTCCCTTGGCCCAACATCGCCATCCACTTTCATACCAAACATTCATAGAAGTATCTTTCCTCAATTCCTCGACTGGAATTTTTCTCTCGTGGTGTTGCCTAGTGCCCGAAGCACCGATTTCGAAAGTTAGTTAAGTAACATACTTGGCATTGGAGCCACGGTGGTTGGCGTTCCTAAGAATCTATGTGCCTTACGGTCCTGTAGTAGTAGCTTCTCCCGGGAGCAAAATGTGTAAAATAAACAGTTGCTGAAAAGCATGAAGAATTAACGAAGTGAAAATCTCCGGTTATTTATTCGGCAATTGACACACAAGTGACCTCCTTAAATAGTCGTTGAAGGACGTTCAGAGCGAGGATGAATGAATCTTCAGGGCGCTTGACTCGGACCAGCCAACATGTAAATCTCTTTAGCCTTTCGGGAAGTGGAGGTAAATTACCACAAATCCAGCAGGGAGTGGGGGAGAAGGAGGTAAAATCACGAACCCGAAGCTCTTCTCCCAGCCCTTTGCAAAGACTCGCCTTTGCTGCCCGAGACCCTGGAGGTTACAGCCGGGAGAACCCGGCGGCGCTAGGACCTGGCTGGCGCCTGGCTGCGGCCGCTTTCGGGCGGGCGGAGGAGGGAGCGGAGAAGGGGGAGGGAGGTGGAAAAGGAGGGGTGTTGAGGGGGGGCGGGAGAGAGTCATTTATGCAGAGCAGGAGCTGCTGCCATTGCCACTCACACTCCCCGCGCGCTGCTCGGAGCCTGAGGGAGCGCGAGGGAGCAAGCGAGCGCGCGCTCGGAGCCAGAGCAAGCTGAGGGGGCGCCCGGCCGCTGCCTGCACCGCCCCCGTCGGCAGCCTCCGCCACGCTCCGGGGCCTGGGGAGGAGCGAGGGCGAGTCGCTAAGTCCCAGTGCCGAGCCCGGCGAGATCCAACTGCTTGGAGGACGCCCGCCCCACTCAGCCGCCTCCCGCACCCGAGCCAAGGAGCTCCCGCCGACCGCCTTGCTGGCCGGAGAGCGGGGAGCACTGGTCCCCGCAGCCCCAGGGATGGTCTACGGGCCAGAGTGAGGCTCGCTGCTGTGATCCCAGCCGGGGTTCATCGCCTCCTGCTGATCGCCCAAGGCTTCGAGCCGGAGCAGCCGGGGGCTGCGCGCCGGGGCGGCCCAGGCCAGAGAAGTTAGTTGTACGCGCCGCTTAGTGCGCGGAGCGAGCGAAGAGGGAGCGAGCGAGGGAGGCAGCGAGGCGCCGGGACCATGGGCTGGGGGAGTCGCTGCTGCTGCCCGGGACGGCTGGACCTCCTGTGCGTGCTGGCGCTGCTCGGGGGCTGCCTGCTCCCCGTGTGCCGGACGCGCGTCTACACCAACCACTGGGCGGTCAAAATCTCCGGCGGCTTCCCGGAGGCCAACCGCATCGCCAGCAAGTACGGATTCATCAACATTGGACAGGTAACGACCGCCTGGCCCGGCCCTCGGCCCTGGAAGTTGCTGGAGAGGAGGTGCCCGCGGCCCTGCGCTTCTCGCCTCCTCCCTGTCGGCCTCCCTTTCCAGATGTGCTGTTGCAGCTGTTACCCTAACTCGTGGGCGATGCGCGCGCGCTCTGTCTCTCTCTCACACACACACATACACACACACAAATACACTCCCCAAAGTTGTCAGGGTTTGTGTTTTGTTTATTTATTTTTTGTAAGCCACTTGGGACAGGTAGAGTCTCTGGAAAAATCTGGAGTGTGCCTGCCCCTGTGGTTGTTTCAAACTCCACCTGGGACCTTTTGGCCTAAAAAGACAGGGAGCACTAGCAGCCTGAGGAAAAGTCTCGGCGGGTGGTCGTGAGGGGGAAATAAGGTCTTTCGAGGGAGCAGGGAGTAAGCTCCCCCGCCAGGAACCCGCTACTTGGGTGAGGGGAGGCTGGATAAGGAGAGGACAGAGGTAGGCGGAGAAGCCTTCCTGCTCCTACCTGAATTTAGCCCAGAAAGAAGTTTCATCTTCTTGGGCGAGAGAACCGCTGGGCGCTGGAGGCGCGGAGACTGGAGCTGGAGGGGAGGAGGGACGCGGAGAGCGAGGCAAGAAGGGTCGGACCGGCGTCAGCGCAGACTTGAGAGACCTTCCAGCTCCCTCGCCTGCCTCGCTCCAGACCCGCTTGGGGATTCCCGGAAGAGGATCAGAGCGCGAGATGGGAAACTTCCGAGTCCCTTTACCCGGGAGAACGGACAGTTCTAGCGCCCGACGTGCGGGGCCGGGAGGCGGCGCCGTGGGGCGAATTGGTCCGGCAGCTGGGCGCGGGATTTTTGTGGGGTACAGCTTGAGGGCTCTCCTGAGAGCTGCCCTGTTTGGGGGGAAAATGCCAATAAGTTGAAGTGATGTTATGGGAATGATTAGAAGAGGAATAATTTGGAGGTCCCTCTGGGCTTCCTCCTTCTCTTCCCCCTGAGATTCCGCACCCCATACCCCTTCGAGAAATGGAGTGGAGAGGACTGTGTAAGCGCGTCCCAGAAAGTGAGCCCCACTCTTACACTCCTCCTTTCTGGACTGCCACGAGCAGGGGGTCCTCGCCAGGGAGTCTCAGGCGAGACCCCGCTGGGGATGGGAGGCGTGGGTGATGGCGGGGTGCCCTCGCAGCCGGCGCTCTCTTGGAACTGCCCGAGGTGCGGAAAGACGCGGGAAGGGCCGGGGCCCGCGCCCTGCGCTCCCTGCCAGGGTGCAGGGAGAGGAAGGGGCCGGCTGGTGCCGCTGGAGCGAAGAGCACAGACGGTTTTTGATGCTTTTGCGCTCCACGTCCAGGAACGCGAGCCTTGGAGCTCGGTTCCAGGAGAAGAGCGGGAACTCCCACCTCCTCCTTACCCCCGCCTTCTAGGACACGCCGCTTTGGGAGAGGAGGCGGAGCTGCTGTCGCTGGATCTGCCAAGGTGGTGGAGGAGAGCTGGGGAGGGTTGGGAAGAGCGGGAGCGCTAAGTCTTGCTCTTTGCCCGCACAGCGGGAGGGCATGTTCCAGAGGAGTCGGTCCTGTGGAGGACTAAGACCAGGGCAAGGGGCACCGGCAGCATTTTCTTTCTCTAGGAAGGAAGTAAGGGAAGCCAGCCAGATTTTGTTGCCTGAGTGCCTGTCATCAGCAGAAGGGTTCTCTTCTAATGGCTTGTTAGGAGTCTGTTGTTACTAGGTGCCCTCCAGTTGGTTCTGACTCATAGCGACCTTATGTAAAACAGAAGGAAACACTGTCCAGTCCTGGTAGGAGTCTACTACCCTTTTTTTTTCCCCACTGGAAGAAACTCTGAGGCTATTCTGGTCTTTTCTACCATGAGCTTAAAGTTGGGTGCTACATTGCCCCAGGAACATAACTGGGAAGGCTAACACTGAAAGTAATACTGTTAATCTTTCCAAACCACATCTCTCAAGTTCAGCTGACACTGAGCATCGCCTAGGAATCAGACATATTTGGAGGAGTAAGTTCTTGAACATACACTTTTTTCTTAATCCTCAAACCAACCTTGTTTGGTGGATATTACTTCACATATAGCAGATGAGGAAACCAAGACTTTTGAGAAGCTAAGTGACCTACCTGCACAGTCACCCAGCTAGACAGTGGCAAAGCCATGATTCAGACCTAGGACTCTCTGGTCCAGGCCCACTGGATCCTGCCTCTTAGGAAAGCCTTCCATCCTTTGGCAGGGAAGGGAGGAATAAAGTAAAATCCCCATTTCCCTGAATTCTGGGTTAGTGGCTTAGTAGACTAGAAGCAAATATCTCGTCTTAATTCACAGATATTATTTCAAACAAACCTGGACTTCTTGAATCTAAGAAGCTTCATGACTTGCAAGGGTAGAAACACCTGTATCTTTCCGAACTCATTGAATAGAACTTAGATATTGCAAAACTTGGCATAGTGAGGGATGAAAAATTGTCACCAAATCCACTTTTGAACAGGCAGACATTGCAGTATCTTGCAGCCTTATCTGGCTTTTTCCACAGAACCTTAAAATGAAGGTCCTTGGCTTTTCATTTAAAAAGTTTGAATGTTTACATACAGATAGTACCAAATACTATTTATTGTGGTTTTTACAACACTAATGAGGAGATTTAGTGCTTGTCAAGTTTACAGAGGACTCCTGGAGCTGATGCTATAACCAGTGTAGAAGGATCAGTTATTCTTACAGTGTAAAGCATTTCCTTTGTAGATCAAAGGAGTATAACCCTATTCTGAGTCTTTTGGGTGATAAATTCAGTTCGCACGTGCAGTATGATTGCACTATAAGGGCCAACCGTATTTCTCATTCATCCTTTTACTGCTCTGACCTTTTAACACTTTAGACATCCTTTTGTTATTCTTTCTTTCCATCACCAAACCAGCTGTAGTTCAGTTGAGGGTAGAAACTAATTTGCAAATGTTGTGGCTCTGAAGCTTCTCTGTTCTTTACTCTTTTGGTCTTGGGGTCCCACCTCTGTCACAAATTAGAACTGAAACTTGTTGTTATTTCCAGAGTCATTTAATATCCTGGCAGTATGTTTGATATCTTAAAAATTCAAGGTGAATTTTCACCACAGTATAGATATAGCTTTGACCATCTACTTAGAATATTAACATAATGTTTTGTATAGCGTCTTAGCACTTAAAAGTCACCAGAAGTAAAATTTCTGGCCTGGAGATTTCTACAGAAAAGCATAGGCGTGCCTCTTCTGTTCACAAGAGATAGGATGTGCAGAATAATGCAAGAAGCCAGCAAACAAGCAAAAAGGACATGCTTGACTTCCTAGGAAGGAACAATAATAAGGGTTTTTTTTGCCTTTGGTTATAGAGATAGCATTGTGTTTTGGTAGGTTTTCACACAGTGTTTATATTTTGTGCATGGTTATGCCTTGAAATTCAGGAATGATACCTAATCATAATTATTATTAGTAGTTGTTATGAGTGTAGAGCATATTTTGCTTGATATTAGGGCCAATTGTAGAGTGCCCTGACTACAAGGACTCTTAGGATCTAGTTTGACCAACTCCTGCTAGTTGGCCAAGGTAGGTGTGCATGCTTTTTGGCTTGCACTGGGATCAAACAAGAGGCCTTGGTCTCTGTCACTGATCCTGTGTTCTGATCCTTCATGCTAACAATCTATTGGTTATAGAAATGACAAAAAGGGACAGGACTTGACATAATGTTAATTGTGAATCTGTGTTTAGACTACATCTTCTACAAACCAGAAGGAAGGAAGAATGTCTCCTGTGAACAGATGTTTGCAACGTTCAACGGCTGTATTTATCCTTCTGTGAGTTGCTAATCCTTGATTCCAACTCCAAGGTAGCAAAAATCCCTTCCCAAGCTATGTAACTTATCTTAAACAAGACTCCAGAAGGATAAAGCTAGTTGCAAGCAATACTGGGGGAATATTTAACCTGGAGCCCCCATTGCAAGCATTTGGACTTAGAAACTCTGGAGATACAGTTTGCACAATCTGTGAAGTCACTGAACTTAAACAGAGGCCCTGTTCCTTCATCTGTAACGTCATAAATCTCTAAATAATCGAGTGAGTTAACTATGCATTGCTCAGCACATAGGCGTACAGAGAAAGGTTTGTTTAATCTGAATCTGAGAAGAAAGGCCGAAACAGGTGAGATTCAAACTTTATTTAGATATGGGGAGAGGAAGATACACTTTTAAGCTGGAAGATGCAAAATATGAAGATGAGGAAAATAAACTTTGATGACTGAGTTAGTAGAGCCAAATCAGAGCTTTGTAGATTGGGAAAATGGTTTTCCATTTCAGCTAACAATTTAAAATAGTATTATGTTGGATTCTAAACGAATTATGGCTAATTTCCCATGGCAGTGCTCTCTTCCCATGTTGAGCCTTGTTATAGACCATTAGATATTGTGAGATAAGCTTGTGGAGGTGGGAGAAAGGGAAGAAACATATCTGAAGACTAGCTATTTTATAAAGCATCTTACCTGGGTAAATTATGTTAAACTAAGTTTGAATTTTTATATTTTGTCTAATTCTGAACGTCGTTTGTATGAGTAAATTTAGAAGATGCATTTTCCAAATCAATGGGAAGAGATTCTTCAACAGGAAGAACCCTGCTATGTCTTGAGGGCCTCCCATTCTGCTGATAAATTTTGACCTGTGAGTAATGAGGACGTTTGAAAAGTTGATAAACAGGGGAGAGAGAGGGGAAGTGGGTTCTGGATGCTTGTGGGTGGTATTTTAAATAGGGGATGTGGCTTGTCTGACAGGAGTGGACTGTCCTCCCCTAGTAAGCTCTTAGTTTGTAAATAGAAAAGTAAATTGATTTAGAAGTCCCAGGTCAATCCCTGTGGGATAATTTGGCTTTGCACAGAGCAGCTCTTTTAGCTCAAGAACTTCAGCTCTGATCTCAGCTAACAACCCTCAAATGGGAATTTCTTAACACAAGAGGAAAATGGAGGGAGACTAGGGGATCCTTTACTACAAAAAGCCATTTAGAATG